CATTCTAATATGCTGGCACTCAATTATTAATAATGCTTCTTATTATACAAAAACATAAAATGCAAAAAAAAATGTTTTGCTAATTATTTAATTAATTCATTAATTATTATTATTATTTTTTTTTTTTTTTTTTTTTTTTTTTGGGGCTATCCTGGGTTAATTTAAATTGTCAGGGTTATCAGGGTTATGGCGCCCGAATATTTTCCTTAATAGAGTTTATTTATGCTAGGGCGGCCACCACCGTTACATGCTGCAGATTTGTTGTCTGCCACTTTAAATGCTGGAGCTCTTTAAAGTTGAATGAATTCTAATTGGCTGTCAATGCTTTTATCATTCATCAGCTGGAATAAAAAAAATCAACAATATAAAAGAGATTCCAGCAATATCGTTTCTCTGTGCAGTTATCGATAGTTGTGCTGTGGAATCTGATATTCTTTTATATAGAATTATTATTATTAATAGTTTTTTTTTTGTCTTTCATTAATTATTATTATTATTATTTTTTTTATTTTTTTTTTTTGTGGAAGCCGTGAACTTTTTTTTAAGTATTCTTTGAGTATAAAATTCAAAAGAACAGTATTTTATTTGAAATATAATTTTTTGTAACATTATAAATAATTTAATGCATCCTTGCGAAATAACTTTTTATGTTTTTATAATGGTTTTACAGCATATGAAGGATAATGTGACACTGAAGACTGGAGTAATGATGCTGGAAATTCAGCTTTGCATCACGGGAATTAATGACATTTTAAAATATGTTAATAATAAATAGAAAAAAAAACTAGAAAACAGCACTTTTAATATTTCACAATATTACTGTTTTTACTGGATTTTTTTCATCAAATAAATGTAGCCTTGGTGAGACTTATTTCAAAAACAAAAAGAAATCATAAGTATCCCAAAACTTTTGACCAGTAGTTATAATTATTAATATTTAACTTTGTGGGAGTGTGTTGAATAACATACAGTATTAGTTTTTGCTGTGGTCTTGAAGTTGGTATCAAATGGTGATATTTCGACTCTTGAAATCTTGGTCTCATGAGAGCCGTAGTTCAGAGAGAACAATGATTTGTCCTTCCTCAACATGACAGCAGTAATGGATTGGTTTTAAGAGCTCCAGCTAGTTGCTCATATTGTTTGGCTTCACAGACAGGCGAGTCAAAGTGCTTGAGGGTGACATGATGAAACATCCACCAGTGACAACTGACTGAGCATGATTCCACCAATCGTTTCTGGGGTGATGTGTGCTGCTTGTCTTTTGTTTCTGTTGTTGATCTCTTTCGGTTTTTTTTTCAAAAAGTGTGTGTATACTGTATAATTTGTTTGTAAAGTCTCTTAGTTTAATCTCTTTCATTTGTAACTCAGCTTTATAAGTCAAACGCGCAAACTGACACCAAATCTTTAGAACCTGAGCCATACGTAACCCACCCAGAGATGTCATATTTGGGGTATTTAAAAGACCCAATAGGCGTGATCAACTTCCAGTCATTAAATTTAAACTTTTTGTTTTTAAAAACTATATGAAACAAGCATAAATACAAAGAGTACATTTTTCCTTTTCTATTTTTCAGGGCCACTCTGATTTGTCATTGACCCTTTGCTGTAAGCATACCATTTAAAGTAGCTGTGTATTCTGTCCAAATGTAGTACTTTACTGAGCTGTACACTGTACTCTCGTTCTCATTTGTGAGATGAGATGAACAGACTTCACATTTAATTTCCCGTAGGCCTCCTTTGATTCTTGGTGTCACGTCAGCCGTGTAACCTTCAATGGCTCTGTAGTGATGGCAAAGCTCTGAGCTTGTTAGATACCGCTGAACTTACAGAGACCTCTGCATCATCGCTCTGAGAATGAGAGTCTGTTTCAGCACTTTTGTGATTGGTTGATGACAGTGATAGCACCTCCCATCACTTATTCATGCCCTGTTCTCCTCAACCATCATTCAGGAAGTGACACACAGGAAGTGTACAATGCAGTTGCCGTATCTTCCCTGCTGTGTGCTGACATTCAGCACTTTGGTTGTGCTATATGTGACCTATAAATCCTCCACACCTCTGATGGGAAGGAGAGAGAATCTCTTGACCACTGCTTGGGAAAGCAAAATAATTGGATTCCTGCTCCTTATCACACTCAACACATTACGAGTTGTCAAAATTCCCTGCTGCCAGGGCTTGATCACGTTTCAGTCAAGCAAGAGGGATTTCATATGGCTGACTGATAGGTGAGACTGTTTTAGATTGTGTTATTGCCAGTCACTGGGGGCAGTAGTGTCCGACACGTGCCTTAGACTCTCACGTGACAATGCTTGGTGGACGTTACCATATTGACCTTTTTGTCATATTGTATTGTACCTTGTTACTGTTACAAAACGGCACTCTCGTTCTCGTTCAAGTGGCTTCACTTCATTCCACTTGCAGTAAGTGGTGGAATTGTTTTTGTTTCTCTGCTATGATGTGGAATAGACAGCAAACCTTTCCCGACCCTTACAAACAGATCCTCTTAAGTGAGTGATTGAAACCCCGGCCACAAAATTATGACAAAGAAGATTTTACATTTTCTGAAAAAATATGTGAGGTGCTCCTATTTGGACTGACAACTGAGTTCCATGTTTTCCCATGTCTCTCAGATTGTCTGCAGTCTAGGTATGGTTGTGGCCCCCAGGGGCCCCCGCCGACTGTTCTGAGTCAAAAGAGCTCATGCCCTATCGTGGCAATAATCAGGTGCCTAGATATGGCCTCTAGGGGCCTTTGATGCCCTATACAAGATTTCTGTACAGTGCCTTGTCAAAATGACTCATTCCCAAATTTCTATAATATTCTGGTACCTAGATAGGTCTGAGCCCCCCAGATGTCTCTATACACTGTCCTGAGTCAAATAGGTCACTCCTGTTTTTCTTTTCTACAAAAACCAAATGTCTAGATATGGCAGGATCTCTGTATACTACCCTCAGTCAAAATGACCCACCCCAATGTCTCTATAATATTATGGGGCCTAGATAGGTCTGGGCCCTCCAAGTGCCTCTGTACACCTCCCAGGATCAAAAGAGCTCAATCCCATGTTTCTACATAGATCAGGTGCCAAGATATGGCTGGGGCCCCGTACCAGATCTCTGTACACAACCTCTGTACACTGTCCTGAGTCAAAAGAGCTCACTCCCATGTTACTACCAAAAATTAGATGTCTAGATATGGCTGGGGCCCCATGGAGAGTCTCTGTACACTACCACTTCGTCAAAATAAACCACCCTGATGGTTCTATAATATTCTGATGCCTAGATAGATCTAGGGACCCCAAGTGCTTCTGTACACTACCCCTGGTCAAAAGAGCTCACTCCCCATGTTTCTACAAAAATCAGATATCTACATATGGGGCCACATGGAGAATCTCTGTACATTACCCTTAGTCAAAATGACCCGCCCTGATGTTTCTATAATATTCTAGTGCCTAGATAGGTCTGGGGCCCCCAGGTCCCTCTGTATACTACACCTGGTCAAAAGTGCTCACTCCCAAGTTTCTGCAAAAATCAGATGCCAAGATATGGCTGGGGCCCATACATGATCTCTGTTCACAACCCTCGGGCAAAATGACCCACCCCCACAAGTCTATAATATTCTAGTGCTTAGCTAGGTTTGGGCCCCCGAGATGCCTCTGTACACTGTCCTAAATCAAAAGAGCTCACTACCATGATTCTACAAATATCAGATGTCTAGATATGGCTGGGGCCCCTGCAGAGTCTCTGTAAATTACCCTCAGTCAAAATGACCCACCCTGATGTTTCTATAATATACTGGTGCCTAGCTTGGTCTGGGGCCGCCAGATGCATCTTTAAACTACCCCTGGACCCCCCCAAGAGTCTATAATATTATGAAGACTAGCTAGGTTTAGCCTCTGGGGCCTTTGCACACTGTCAAAAGAGCCCACCCCCATGTCTCTGCGATCATTAGGTGCCAAGATATAACTGGGGCCCCATACAGGATCTCTGTACTCTACCCTCATTCAAAAAGACCCACTCCTATGTTTCTATAATATTCTGGTGACTAGCCTCTAGGGACCCCATATAACGAGAGTCAGAATCAGATATGCCGTATAGACACACATGGACATATACAGGAAAATACTAATGTAAACTGTTGATGATTTAACTTTTTCGGGGTTTTTTTTTTTTTTTTGATGAATATTTTATTGTTAGAAGTGAAACTTTTTAATTTTTAGCAGGGTATGCTTAATATACTCAATGTACTTGCATTCAAAAGGTTTGTTTACTGAAGGGCCATTGTTATTGGAGTTGAAGGTCTCATACTGGAACTAGGTCAAAATGCAAAATAGTTAAATCAGAATTTGCATTTGTTATTATCCTGCCTGAAGTAGTCAGAATTGGAAAAATTATCACATGTCCCATTCTGAATCACTACATACCCAGGACGTTTCATGTGGCCTATGCGAGTACACACCCGTTTCACTTTTTTGTTCACTCTGTGTTCCTCTTCTATACACACATAAAACCTCTGCTCCTTTTTTGTCTGCCCATTAAAATTATTGACCATTAGGCGATGCTGAGAAAGGTGGGGTGTAATTATGAGTCCAGGCAGCTTTGTCAATTCCCTGCAGCCTGTGTTGAGCCCAGCAGAGATCCTAATAGGAAACTGCAGTGTTAAAAACACACACTCACAAGGATATAGAGGGAAACGAGGCTGTGAACACAATTTGGTTTATCAGCAACTAAACCAGAAACTCAGATTCCACTGCCACTAAGACCAGAAGAATAATCTCTATAAGTATGCAAACAGTGATGCATTGCAGCTGTGTAATCCCATTGTACTTAGTGTTCTTGTTTGATTAGCACAGAATATATTTCGGGCCTTAGAATCGCTCCATCTTTTTATTTCATCTCTATCTTTAACATTGTAAGAAAGAACCATGTATGTACGAATCATGTATGTTAATAGTATGTGCTGTATTTACAGAAACTTTCTTTTCCTTTTTACCTTTCAGAGAAAATGAACATGTTGTCTGCACTGATCGCCCCCTTCAAGTACATGACCCCAGCAGCCAATTGCACAGAAGACGAGGACACATTGAGTCAGTATGCATAATCACTATCACAACAAACCCTTTCAAAAATGTAAAAAAAAATAATTTAATTTCAAAAATGTAATTACATTTGAACATATAATTATATATAACAATATAGAGAATAACTATATATACTGTATATATATATATATATATATATATATATATAGTATACATATCATTTAAAGTGATGCTAGAAGAGTTGAAGACAAGCAGCACTACAAAAACAACATTTTGGTCCTTTCTTAAAATTTAGGCTTGCATCCATGTGTTGAAGTTTATTTTCAGAGATGAATTTCATTTGGTTCCATCACAACACAGTTGGGGTGTGAAATAGAGGCTTTAATGTGTGATAAGACTTTCACACACTGAAATCTCATAACCGTCTGCTCTCCTGCATTACAAAAGAGCGTCTCCTTTGCATTGTATATGGGGGAGACGATTTGTACCCACTTTAAGTATATACTCCAAGCCAATTTTGTGGGAGATTACGGAGCGATTTGCCAGATAATGCCCCATTTTAGAGGATTTGTCTTCGGATTTTTTTTTACAACAGTTAAGTAGAGGAGGCTTTTCTCATATGGAACTGTTAGGAGCAGCTGCTTTGGAAAAAGGCAATGGCAGTTTTTAATATCAACATGTATATGAACTACCAGACTTTTATCAGGTCAAGTGCGATTATGGGCAGAATGGCGTAGAAGATAGATAGCACTCATTGAGTTTTGTTTTTTGTTAAATTATTTCCTTGATCATATTAATATGTCGTTTCTGCTTCCAACCTAGGCACCAGTAGTGCTGAGGTCAAGGAGAACCGTAACACGGGAAATTTGGAAGATTGCGCCATTGTTCCGTCAGACTGCCAAACACTCTTCCTGTCTGATTCACCCAGGGACGGGGCGTCTGGCCTCAAGCGAAAGCGGCCTTTGGAGGAGGACAATAACGGACACTTGTGCAAATTGCATCTGTACTGCAAGAAACTGGCATGGTCCAATGCACCAAAGAATGCTCTGGTCCAGTTGAACGAGCTGAGACCAGGTCTACATTACCGGATGGTCTCTCAGACAGGACCGGTGCACGCACCTCTCTTTTCCATCGCCGTGGAAGTCAACGGACTCACTTTCGAGGGCACCGGCCCTACAAAGAAAAAGGCTAAGATGAAGGCAGCCGAGATGGCCCTGAAGTCATTCATCCAGTTTCCCAATGCCTCACAAGCTCACTTGGCCATGGGCGGACTGAGCAACCCCACAGCCGACTTCACATCAGACCAGGCCGACTTCCCAGACACGCTGTTCAAAGGCTTCGAGCCTGATGGCTGCCGCTCTGCCGAGAGCGAGTTGCTGTCTAGCGCTCTCCGTTTGCGCCACACGTTGGACTTGATGGTTGTGCAGGCCAGGCAAGGAGATCCCTGCCTTCCCCCGCCTCCGGTACCCACCACCCAACCCAGCCCGGTCGTACTGCTCAACGACCTGCGGCCCGGCCTGCGATATGCCTGCCTGTTGGAGCGTGTCCAAGGCAAACGGGCACACCGCAGTTTCGTCATGGCCGTTCGAGTGGATGGCAGGATATTCGAGGGCTCGGGTCGCAGTAAGAAGCAGGCAAAGAGGCAGGCGGCTCTGTGTGCCCTGCAGGCGCTCTTCAACTTCAGGCTGGCACCTGAGGCGAGAGCGGGACACCAGCCCAGTAGGATCAAATGCCCTCATTTGCCCCAGGTGAGTGTGCCAGTCCAGCCGCTGGCAGGCCACTCGTTCCATACGACGGGCCTTAATAACCAAAGCAGCAGGAATGCTGGGATACAGAACAGCCAGCCAAGACTTAATTAAGAGGGAGGAGATAATGTTTGGGGAGGCATGGGGCAGTACAGATGGATTATGGGGGAGAGGTTAGGCTATATCGCAGAGCAAAAGGTGGAAACGTTTTATGTTAGCACACAGGCTTTAACATTTACTCTAGGCAGGACAGGACAGCATATCTAGTGTAAACACACACATGTGTGTGTACTTATGAAAGCAAAAGGGCCAGAGGTAAACAGAACCTATTCACAGATCTCTTCAGATGGAAAAAGGATGTAAATGAGGCAAATTATCATTCGGGAGCCTCTGACTCCAGAGAGAAATCCAATGCGCCAACAAATGAGTTTTCTTTTTTTTTTCTTTCTTTCTTTTTTCTTTTTTTTACTTTCCATGTGTTTATAGAGCTAAATTGCAAAAGTATTGCTATTTTGCACAATCTCTAGTTTCCTCATGTATGACATGGCAGTGTCTATAAACATTAATTCAATCTGTTGCCCAAAGGTGATTGAAAAAAGCACAGAGCAAATCGACAAACAATCCTCAGACCCATTCTTCTGTTATTTAGTCAAATATGTAAATAGCAATCAGACTAGGAAATTAATGTTTTTTTTTTCTTAGAGAGCTAAAATGTATTGTGATCCCTTGTGTGTCCATTTGGAGTCAAAATCAACATATAGTGCTGTCAAACAATTAGGCATTTTAATTTAATTACGTGATATTGCCCTTAATTACATTTTTTCTTCATTGCAATAAGTTTCTATGTTGCTTGCCATACATACACAGTCTGTAGTTAGGCTAATGAATTATATAACTAACTGTAAGAATTGTTTATTATTCTCATAAATTAATGAATGAAATTTGTCATACTGCTGTTGCTGCCATTTTTTCTAAAAGCAATAAGCCACTCACGACCTTGCATTACAGGGATTGCACCATGATTAATGGAGTTTCCTTAGTTTTTAAGAATCACTCACGGATGTATGCGGCTAATCAGTTTATTGCGTGGTGTTTGTAACGTTTTCCTCCTCAAGTATGCACATGTATATGTGTGCATGTCAGCATCAGCTCTCGTGTGTGTGTGTGTGTATGTGTATGTGTGTGTGTGTGTGTGTGTGTGTGTGTGTGTGTGTGTGTGTGTGTGACGTGATATTGCCCTTAATTACATTTTTTCTTCATTGCAATAAGTTTCTATGTTGCTTGCCATACATACACAGTCTGTAGTTAGGCTAATGAATTATATAACTAACTGTAAGAATTGTTTATTATTCTCATAAATTAATGAATGAAATTTGTCATACTGCTGTTGCTGCCATTTTTTCTAAAAGCAATAAGCCACTCACGACCTTGCATTACAGGGATTGCACCATGATTAATGGAGTTTCCTTAGTTTTTAAGAATCACTCACGGATGTATGCGGCTAATCAGTTTATTGTGTGGTGTTTGTGACTTTTTCTCTCCCCAAGTATGCACATGTATATGAGTGTATGTCAGCATCAGCTCTCCTGTGTGTGTGTTTCTTGTGCTGTATTAGTATTCAGCCCCTTCCTGCACAGAGCCGATAGGGAGAATGTTGTCTTTCCTCTCCTACTACAGCAGCCAAACAACCTGCACGTTTGCCGGAGAGAAACTTCTCCTTTCTCCTGCTCGCTACGCTCTTTAAAAGGATTTATAAGAGGATTTGCCTCACTAGTTTAGATCCAGTTATATGCACTTCCTTGTGGAAATTCTTGAAAGTCAGACTACGGCGTTGGCTGTTGAGTCTCTTAGAAATGATGACAAAAACATGCACATGTAATTAGAATGTTCCTCCTTTTCCATCACAGAATCATCCAGCATCATCTGGCCAGTGGAACAAGCGTTTGTGTATGTGTGTTTGAGCTTGTATGACGATTTCTCAGTAGTCTGGAGATCTGAGGGTTGGATGGCGCTCAAACCACTGCCTGTAGGGTGCCTTCCTGTGCCGCAGGGCCCTGCTGATAGCAACCGCTGCCAGCTCTGCCGCTGTCACACTGCTCTCAAGACCCAATATTTTTCTCTTTCTTTCTGAAGCAACTGTGACTTCCTTTAACAACAGTCATTGCAGCAACTAGTAGCAGCAGCTTTTCTATGATGAAATAGCATTACTGCCTAAAATAGAGTCTTGTGAAAATCTTTATCCAAATTTTCAGCACTCAGTATTTCTTTCAAGGTTTAATTTTAAAGAAAAAAGAATAATAAAATAATAATAATAGTTTTTGTTATTAAAGTCAATAGTGAATCTGACAAGAACATATCACCTCAAATCAAAATAAAGAAACATTAATTTATTATAAATATTTAAATGACTACATTACAATCATTAGAATATAATTAGAATTGCAATTGAGAATGAATGAATGAATGAATAAACAAACATATAATAACAGTAAACAAACAAACAATATATATATATATATATATATATATTTCTGCAATACAATTTATCAAATATATCAAACAGATAAACAAAAGGATGAATAAACATAGGAAATCACTCTGGAGTATTAATTCTGATTTTTACATGTTTTGGGCATTTTTGCCCAGATCTCTGGTAAACTTCTGAGCCTGATGCAGATGCATTAAATTGAGGATTAAGCATCAGATTTGAGATTTTAAGGCTGTATTGAAACAAATAAGTTGTAAAGAAAGAAAGCGATCAACAAAGAGTGACAGAAAAAGAGGGTGAAATGTGGGTCACCTTTGGAGTGGAATAGAAGGACAGGGAGACTCTGGTGGGTGGAAGACATTTCTGGCACTGATGGAATATTCCGTAGGAAGAACCGGCCATAGCAGCGTGATGCCCCAGGCAAATATGAACAATAACTTGCAGGCTACCCTTCTCCACCACCTCTTAAATGAAAAATTGAACTGTCATCCAGGCTGCATGCCTTGTTGCCCACATCCCTATGCCTGTTCACATCTCTAAATAATGACACACTCACACACATGCACACACACTCCCTGCAGGGATTTACCTGCATGCTCTATGAAAGTCAATATAACATTGAAGCAGTAATATGAGATCCAGGTACGAAGCAAGACTTATTAAGTTACCCCAAAAATATCCATCAATCATGGGATCATAGTCCCCCAGTGCTTTCCTAACTTCATTCCCAGCTAAAAAGACGCATAGGAAATTTACAAAACATTTATCTTCTCACCCGAACGCTTGCATGTCAGCAGCTTCACGTTTTCATCACGATTCCTCTGGTTTCAGAAGTATAAATGCAGGACAAACTGATTTGGTATCAGGAGTCTGCCCACGTTATAAGGTAGAATGATTGCAGTGCATGGTTAGGTTGATTGGCCACTTAATCTCTCAGCGCAGTCACAAATATCTGCAGCGTTGCCAAGTCAACGCACAGACCCTGCTAAGACAGGAAAAAGCCAGAGTCAGACGCTGGTGCCACTACAGGTCCTGACCGTGCCACTAGTATAGTTAACCTTGGACCACAGGGTATTTGACTGAAGAAATTACCTCGGCATGCTGCTAAATATCAAATCACTGCCTAATCATGAGTGAGGTGAGACAGTTTGACTTCCAGTTCTGTAGCTGGTATTTAAAATGGAAGGCTCACAGTGATGAATCGCACTGAGGAGCTAGGTGTTTGAGGAAGGTTCAGAAAGGGGAGGGATATATAAGGCAGGGTCAAGAAAGGGAGGGGGGTCAGATGGGGGCTGGAGTAACATTAAAGGGAGGGGAGTGTTGAAGAGCGAGGTCTGCAAAGGGAGTGGAAATATTGCAGAAGAAAAGGGGAGGACAGAGTTAAAGTGTAAGGTCAGAAGGAGGGAAAGTGATAAAGGGTGTGGTCAGAAGAAGAGGAGTGATAAATGGTGAGGTCACAGGAATGTTGAGGGACAGGGTCAGAATGTGGGGGAATGTTATAGTTATAATGTTATAATGTTATATGATCAGACTGAGGTTGAGTGCTTAAGAGTGGGGTCAGAGGGAGGGGGAGTGTTAAAGGGGTCATATGATGCTGCTAAAAATAACATTATTTTGTGTATTTGGTGTAA